TATAAAAAGAATGTATAAACATAAAAATGTCTTAAAATAATCGTCGGACTTTGTCCATTTCATAATGTGTATACGCTTATGTAAGGAGTGCGCAAGGTTAGTGTAGATACATAGTAATCTTGATATAATTATCTCTTTTTCCCATCAGCTATGAGTAGCTGATGGGAAAAAGAGATAATTATTGAATCAATTGTTGGGAATTTACTGCTACGAATATTGGTTTATGGTGTCGTGCCAGGAAAGATGATTCACTGTGTCGTGCCAGACAATTTTTCTCGCCAGATTCCATCTTACCCATTTATAAATCTACCATTCGTCCGCGCATTGAATACTACAACCATATCTGGTCCGGTGCTCCTACTATACGAGGTCTGTCTGAAAAGTAATAGGACTGGTGTCACAAACAATTTTTTTTTCAATTCCAAGCAATAAACTACGTGGTTTTCCCTTCAAAGTTGTCCCCATCAAGTCTAATGCATTTTTCCATCCGTCTCTGCCAGGCTTCTATGTGCTTCTGCAAGGATTCTTCCTGGGTGCCGCTCAGTTATGTCGTTACAGCTCTCTTGATGGCGTCTACGTCTTCGAAACGGGTCTCCTTGATGATCCCCTTGGAGTAAAGAAAAAAGTCTCGCGGAGCAAGATCAGGTGAATAGGAAGGTTATTCATATACGGCGAGGTTTTTCTCGATTACGAACTGCCGGATGCTCAGGGCGTTGTGAGCAGGAGCATTGTCGTGGTGAAGCAGACACGATTTATCCTGCCACAAAAGTATGTGAAAAAAATATGCAATGGCTTTTTTTAATCGGAATATATATAGATGAGGTCTGTCTGAAAAGTAATGGGACTGGTATCACAAAGAATTTATTTCAATTCCAATCAACAAACTACATGGTTTTCCCTTCAAAATAATCACCATTAAGTCTAATGCACTTTTCCATCCATCTCTGCCACACTTCTATGCCCTGCTGGAAAAAAAAAACTTCCTGGATGCGCCACAGCCCAGTTACGCCCCGCTTGATGGCCTCCACGCCTTCAAAACGGGCCCCCCTTGAATTTTGGGAAAAGAAGAAAGTCATACGGAGCAAGTCTAGGTGAATAGGGATGTTGTTCCAGTACGGCGATGTTCTTCTCGGCCAGGAATTACCGGATGCTCAGGGCGTTATGAGTAGTTGGATCTTGTCTTGCCGCAAGTCTCGCATGTGAAAGAAATACAATAATTGCAGAAAGCTAAGATTACAGTTATATACTCCCAAGCTATGTTAGATGATAACACAATCTACTTACCTCTCTTTCACCCTTAGCTCACACATCACAGGCAGTTCCGTTACTTTTCAGACAGACCTCGTATATCTCGAGTTCTTTGATAAAATTCAAAACAGGATCCGTAATATAATCGATCCTGACCTTGCATCTCGACTTTTCTCACCGACGTGACGTGGCTTCCTTCTGTCTTTTCTACAAATATTTTCAAGGCAGTTGTTCTGATGATGTTCCTCGACCACATGAATTTAAGCGTAGTACTAGATTGGTAGTTAGGTCTCATCATTTTAATGTTGAAATTGCTAGATGCAACCATATATTCAATTGTAATAATTTCTTTTCTCACACCACTCGCCTGTGAAGCTCTCTTTCTGTTTTTTACTTTCCCGTCAGCTACGATGTTAAAAATTAAAATGCAACGTCAATTGACATCTTCTGTCTTTCTGAATATTTATTCTTTTATTGTCCTTTCTCCTCACCAAAGGTTTTTCATTCTCTTTCAACTCTAGTAACCAATTGCGTCTTAGTGGCATTATCGCCTTGCTTGGGTTGAAATGATTTAAAACAAAAAAGACTAAAAGAATATTTTTTGTTAAAGATTTTTTTCATTTCCTTTTTTTATATTTTTGACTATTTTCTTTGTTTCAGATGAAATTTGAAATATCAATTTTCAAATGTCCGCGTTCTGTCAGTTTTCATAATACGTGATTAAAGAGATTTTGTTTTGTGGGCATGGAAAATTTGATACTTCACAGGATAGATTAAAAGCAAGAGGGATGCGTATCCAAATGTAAACAAATGATGTCACGCATTATGAAATGGACAAAGTCCGACAATTTCATAATGTGTGACGTCATTTGTTTACATTTGGATACGCATCGAGCAGATATAAATGTACGTGAGAAAATCATGGAAGATTGTAGTTTAAAAACAGTAAAAAAGACCTTGGTAACCGAACGCTCCTCTGTGGCGAAATCGGTAAAAGCACGTCAGGCTATATAACGGTTCCGTATAGGATACAGGTTCGATTCCTGTCGGAGGGCGCATATTTTTTATGGCAATTTCTCGGACATTCAGGTCGGTAAATGTTGTTTAATACTGTTTATTATAAACAGAGCATTTACTTAAATATTTGTATCTATAAAAAAGAATGTATAAACATAAAAATATCTTAAAATAATTGTCGGACTTTGTCCATTTCATAATGTGTTAAGAAACGTTATATAAAACATTTTCTTTT